TATGAATAAAACAGAAACCTACAAGCAATAAAAGCTATTAATACCAAAATCTACATATAAATAAGATAGAAGCAAATCAAGTTAGCCAGTCTAATAGGAAAGCAAAACTCTCACAACAGATGAAAGAAGATTAGACAAAAATATCTAAATAATCAACAGGTTGCAAAGACTGGGGAAATGAGGCAAGTGGTTATAAGCATGTAATAATAGTCATGAAGGTGGTGGTGGTGGTGGTGGTGGTGGTGGTGGTGGTGGGCGAGTGGTGGTGGTGGTGGTGGGCGAGTGGTGGTGGTGGTGGTGGGCGAGTGGTGGTGGTGGTGGTGGGCGAGTGGTGGTGGTGGTGGTGGGCGAGTGGTGGTGGTGGTGGTGGTGGTGGTGGTGGTGGTGGTGGGCGAGTGGTGGTGGTGGTGGTGGGCGAGTGGGGGTGGTGGTGGTGGTGGGCGAGTGGTGGTGGTGGTGGTGGTGGTGGTGGTGGTGGTGGTGGTGGTGGTGGTGGTGGTGGGCGAGTGGTGGTGGTGGGCGAGTGGTGGTGGTGGTGGTGGTGGTGGTGGTGGTGGTGGTGGTGATGGTGGGCGAGTGGTGGTGGTGGTGATGGTGGGCGAGTGGTGGTGGTGGTGGTGGGCGAGTGGTGGTGGTGGTGGTGGGCGAGTGGTGGTGGTGGTGGTGGGCGAGTGGTGGTGGTGATGGTGGGCGAGTGGTGGTGGTGGTGGTGGTGGGCGAGTGGTGGTGGTGATGGTGGGCGAGTGGTGGTGGTGATGGTGGGCGAGTGGTGATGGTGGGCGAGTGGTGGTGGTGATGGTGGGCGAGTGGTGGTGGTGGGCGAGTGGTGGTGGTGATGGTGGGCGAGTGGTGGTGGTGATGGTGGGCGAGTGGTGGTGGTGATGGTGGGCGAGTGGTGGTGGTGATGGTGGGCGAGTGGTGGTGGTGATGGTGGGCGAGTGGTGGTGGTGATGGTGGGCGAGTGGAGGTGGTGATGGTGGGCGAGTGGTGGTGGTTGAGTACTCACCTAATTGTACTTGCCTAATTGTGCTTGCGGGGGTTGAGCTTTGGCTCTTTGGTCCCGCCTCTCAACTGTCAATCAACTGGTGTACAGATTCCTGAGCCTACTGGGCTCTATCATATCTATATTTGAAACTGTGTATGGAGTCAGCCTCCACCACATCACTTCCTAGTGCATTCCATTTATTAACTACTCTGACACTGAAAAAATTCTTTCTAACGTCTCTGTGGCTCATCTGGGTACTAAGTTTCCACCTGTGTCCCCTTGTTCGTGTCCCACCCGTGCTGAAGAGTTTGTCTTTGTCCACCCTGTCAATTCCCCTAAGAATTTTGTAGGTGGTTATCATGTCTCCCCTTACTCTTCTGTTTTCCAGGGATGTGAGGTTCAGCTCCTTTAGCCTTTCCTCGTAGCTCAATCCTCTCAGTTCCGGGACTGAGTGGTGGTGGTTGAGTGGTGGTGGTTGAGTGGTGGTGGTTGAGTGGTGGTGGTTGAGTGGTGGTGGTTGAGTGGTGGTGGTTGAGTGGTGGTGGTTGAGTGGTGGTGGTTGAGTGGTGGTGGTTGAGTGGTGGTGGTTGAGGGTTGGTGGTGGTGGTTGAGTGGTGGTGGTGGTGGTTGAGTGGTGGTGGTTGAGTGGTGGTGGTTGAGTGGTGGTGGTTGAGTGGTGGTGGTTGAGTGGTGGTGGTTGAGTGGTGGTGGTTGAGTGGTGGTGGTTGAGTGGTGGTGGTTGAGTGGTGGTGGTTGAGTGGTGGTGGTTGAGTGGTGGTGGTGGTGGTGGGTGAGTGGTGGTGGTGGTGGTGGTTGAGTGGTGGTGGTGGTGGTGGTTGAGTGGTGGTGGTGGTGGTGGTGGTGGTGGTGGTTGAGTGGTGGTGGTGGTGGGTGAGTGGTGGTGGTGGTGGTGGTGGTGGGTGGTGAGTGGTGGTGGTGGTGGTGGTGGGTGAGTGGTGGTGGTGGTGGTGGTGGTGGGTGAGTGGTGGTGGTGGTGGTGGGTGAGTGGTGGTGGTGGTGGTGGGTGAGTGGTGGTGGTGGTGGTGGGTGAGTGGTGGTGGTGGGTGAGTGGTGGTGGTGGTGGTGGTGGTGGGTGAGTGGTGGTGGTGGGTGAGTGGTGGTGGTGGGTGAGTGGTGGTGGTGAGTGAGTGGTGAGTGAGTGGTGAGTGAGTGGTGAGTGAGTGGTGAGTGAGTGGTGATGGTGGTGGGTGAGTGGTGGTGATACCTGGTTGATGGGGTTCTGGGAGTTGTTCTACTCCCCATACCCGGCCTGAGGCCAGGCTCGACTTGTGAGAGTCTGGTCCACCAAGCTGTTGCAATATATATACAACATGATGTATGTATGCAATATATAATATATGATATGCAATATAGCGGCCCACAGGGCCGCTATATTGCATATCAAGGAGGTATCAAGCAGGTATCAAGGAGGTATCAAGGAGGTATAGCGGCCCACAGGGCCGCTATACCTCCTTGATACCCGCTTGATGGGGTTCTGGGAGTTCTTCTACTCCCCAAGCCCAGCCTGAGGCCAGGCTTGACTTTTGAGTGTTTGGTCCACCAGGCTGTTGCTTGGAGCGGCCCGCAGGCCCACATACCCCCCACAGCCCGGTCAGTCCGGAACTTCTTATAGAAAACAGTCTAGTTTTTTCTTGAAGATGTCCACGGTTGTTCTGGCAATATTTCTTATGTTCGCTGGGAGGATATTGAACAACCGTGGACCTCTGATGCTTATACAGTGTTCTATGATTGTGCCTATGGCACCTCAGCTCTTCACTGGTTCTATTCAGCATTTTCTTCCATATTGTTCACACCAGTACGTTGTTATTTTACTGCGTAGATTAGGGACCTGGCCCTCCAGTATTTTCCATGTGTATATTATTTGGTATATCTTTCGTCTCCATTCTAGTGAGTACATTTGGAGAGCTTTGAGACGATCCCAATAATTTAGATGCTTTATCGCGTTTATGCATGCCATACATGTTCTCTGTATTCCCTCTATTTCAGCAACCTCTCCTGCTCTGAAGGAGGAAATGAGTACCGAGTAGTACTCGAGATGTGACAGCACAAGTGATTTGAAGAGAACCACCATTGTGATGGGATCCCTGGATTTGAAAGTTGTCGTAATCCATCCTATCATTTTTCTGGCTAACGCAATATTTGCTTGGTTATGCTCCCTAAATGTTAGATCATCGGACATCATTATTCCAAAATCCTTTACATGCTGTTTTCCTACTGTGGGCAGATTCGATTGTGTTTTCTACCCTGTATTATATTTCAGACCCTCATTTTTGTCATACCTGAGTACTTGGAATTTATCACTGTTAAACATCATTTTATTTTCTGCTGCCCAATCGAAAACTTTGTTGATATCCGCTTGTAATTTTTCACTATCTTCAGCAGCGGTAATTTTCATGTTAATTTTTGTCATTTGCAAAGGATGACACGAAGCTGTGACTTGTATTTTTGTCTATATCCGATATGAGAATAAGGAACAGCAGTGGTGCTGTTCCTTATTGGTGGTGGTGGTGGTGGCGGAGGTGGTGGTGGGTGAGTGGTGGTGGTGGTGGGTGAGTGGTGGTGGGTGAGTGGTGGTGGGTGAGTGGTGGTGGTGGTGGTGGTGGTGGTGGTGGTGGTGGGCGAGTGGTGGTGGGTGAGTGGCGGTGGTGGTGGGTGGGGGAGTGGCGGTGGTGGTCGGTGGGTGAGTGGGGGTGGTGGTGGGTGGGTGGTGGGTGAGTGGCGGTGGTGGTGGGTGGGTGAGTGGCGGTGGTGGTGGGTGGGTGAGTGGCGGTGGTGGTGGGTGGGTGAGTGGCGGTGGTGGGTGAGTGGCGGTGGTGGTGGGTGGGTGGGTGAGTGGCGGTGGTGGTGGGTGGGTGAGTGGCGGTGGTGGTGGGTGGGTGAGTGGCGGTGGTGGTGGGTGGGTGAGTGGCGGTGGTGGTGGGTGGGTGAGTGGCGGTGGTGGTGGGTGGGTGAGTGGCGGTGGTGGTGGGTGGGTGAGTGGCGGTGGTGGTGGGTGGGTGAGTGGCGGTGGTGGTGGGTGGGTGAGTGGTGGTGGTGGTGGGTGGGTGAGTGGCGGTGGTGGTGGTGGGTGAGTGGCGGTGGTGGTGGTGGGTGAGTGGCGGTGGTGGGTGGGTGAGTGGCGGTGGTGGTGGTGGGCGAGTGAGTGGCGGTGGTGGTGGGCGAGTGAGTGGCGGTGGTGGTGGGCGAGTGAGTGGCGGTGGTGGTGGGTGAGTGAGTGAGTGAGTGGTGGTGGTGGTGGTGGTGGGTGAGTGAGTGGCGGTGGTGGTGGGTGAGTGGCGGTGGTGGTGGGTGAGTGGCGGTGGTGGGTGAGTGGCGGTGGTGGTGGTGGGTGAGTGGCGGTGGGCAAGTGGCGGTGGTGGTGGTGGGTGAGTGGCGGTGGTGGTGGTAGGTGAGTGGCGGTGGTGGTGGTAGGTGAGTGGTGGTAGGTGAGTGGCGGTGGTGGTGGTAGGTGAGTGGCGGTGGTGGTGGTAGGCGAGTGGCGGTGGTGGTGGTAGGTGAGTGGCGGTGGTGGTGGTAGGTGAGTGGCGGTGGTGGTGGTAGGTGAGTGGTGGTAGGTGAGTGGTGGTAGGTGAGTGGCGGTGGTGGTGGTAGGTGAGTGGCGGTGGTGGTGGAGAGTGGTGGTGGTGGAGAGTGGTGGTGGAGAGTGGTGGTTGAGAGTGGTGGTGGTGGAGAGTGGTGGTGGTGGAGTGTAGGACTGGTAGTGGTGGTGGAGTGGAATGGAGTGGAGTGGAGTGGATTGGTAGCGGTGGTGGATTGGTAGCAGTGGTGGCAGTGGTGGTGGCAGTGATGATGGTGATTGTGAACTACAATTTTATTAGAAGTGATACAGCAATCCCTTAATCAAGACAGCCAGTCCAATTGGTGATTGGCCGTGACTTGGGAACCCACGAGGACTGAAGCACCACTGGCCTCAGGGGCTCTAGGTCACACAAGGAGGGTGTATGATGACCGGGAATTGATAGGGCAGAGCCAGTTGGTGGGGTTGGCAACTCACCCGCTGTTGGGGAGGGCAAAACACCCCCGACGGTTGTGTCGTGCCGTATCCGAGACGTGGCACCGGTGGCTTGGGGTTTGTGGGTCTGACGATCTCTTCGTTCTACCTCATTTTCTTGATTTCGTGAACCACCCTGTTAAAATATACATATTAGAGGTGTACCAATATCATTATTTTGACTGTAGTGTCTTAGCAATACTGATACACTACTTTAATATAGTACAGCACTATACAAATGTAAATTCTATTACCAATACATTATATAACAATTTTAAATTGCTAGAAATTATTAACATAATGCTTCTTGTGGTCCGAGGGCTTTGTAAGCCATAACATAATAAAATATTAATAATCCACTTATTATAATATAGAGCCTGCATTCCTGCAGAATCCACTAACCCAAACTTATGTTTCATGGATTTACCGACACTACTTACTGAGTAGTAACTCTCAAATAACAACAATATACAGCCGATAGCTATTCAGTCTTGGAGTGGTTCATATGACCCTGACAAACCATAGCAAGTCTGGAGGCCCTTACTAAAGCCTGTCCAAGTTTTATGTACTTGCTTGGGGGTTATATGTAAACCTTGAAGTGGGTCAGTAGGGGCTTCAGACTTCCAGTGGACGTCTGAAGACTTCCTAGAATCCCGTTGTTTAACTTTTACCAAGTGAGAGTGGGACAGTGGTAGAGGTAGCGGCTGGGAGTTCCTTGGTTGTGGGGTTCAAGTCACCTTGGGTCTCCAGTAGATTTTCTTATTATTATTATTATTATTATTATTATTATTATTATTATTATTATTATTATTAATTATAACAATGAGAATTCACAATATCATTTGTTTTTAGTGACAGTCAAATAATTTAAATATTGCTGAATAATGCCCAGGCTCAGCCAACTTGCACCAACACTTTAATTAACCTTGGATAATGTTACGTTAAGATATATGGCATTATATCCTAATACTTTACAAACTCATTATGATTTTTCAACTTGGATTCCACAGAGCAGAAAAAGTTCTTAAACGCATGGGACAAATTCTTACTGAAGTGACCATACGAGTCAAATACTCATACTCCGCCCAGGTAAAACAGAAACAAGCAACACTTAGTGGGCCAGCCAGAGGCTTAGGGGCCCGTGCAGAAATATTTCCTGGAGAGAACAAAAAAAAAAAAAAAAAAAAAAAAAAAAATACTGCTTGTCTTAACCAAATAACAGATCAAGACATCATCTGCACAACTAACAAGCCATACACCAAGGCTATGTTAGATGAAGTTTTACTTCACTTCACATGAAGTTTCCCTTTCACTTCAAAGAGCCGGTGGCTGAGCGGACAGCATGCTGGACACATGATCCTGTGGTCCCAGGTTTGATTCCAGGCACCGGCGAGAAACAATGAGCAGAGTTTCTTTCACCCTGAAGCTCCCGTTACCTAGCAGTAAATAGGTACCTGGGAGTTAGTCAGCTGTTACAGGCTGCTTCCTGGGGTGTGTGTGGTGTGGGGGAGAAAAAGAAAAGAAAAAAAAAATAGTAACAGTTGAGAGGCAGGCCGAAAGAGCAGAGCTCAACCCCTGCAAGCACAATTAGGTGAATACAACTAGGTGAATACAGTACTTGTTTCATCTGATGAAGCTGAGGAAGTAGCAGAGGATACCTAGGGGAAAAGTTGACTTGAGAATTTAAAGACAATCAGTAAGTGGTCCACAACATCTGGGCTCAAGTGAGGTTAAGCAATCTAATTTGAAGAATGTTTGCAAGAAAATCCTAGCAGTTCCCGACGATGAGGCTGAAGATTAAACTTTTAGGGAATTTGCTCACAAGAGCCATGATATTTTAAAGATGGGCAGAATATAACAGACTGGTCAATAGGGGATGCCTATGACCCAGGTCATGGTACGATGATTAAAGGTGGAGTTGTGCTCATCATTTTTGACAATGTGGTGAGAAGCGAGGGGGGAGGATGTTCCATCACAGACTATAAAATACACTTTCCTCTCATGGAAAATAATGGTCAAGATGTTGTAAATTTAATATCACTACTTCAAGTAGAATTAGGAAGGGAAGGGAATTATCGGGAGAAAGCGCTGAGCCATTACGACTATATAGCACTTGGAAGGTGTCAGGATAAGGATTTGCGATGGTACGGGGGAAAGGAATGGTGCCCAACCACTTGGATGGTCAGGGATTGAACGCAGACCTGCATGAAGAGAGACCATCGCTCTACCGTCCAGGGCTGTAGAGTAAGGAGCTGATCATCAAAAGTGCCAATAAAAAAGGGAGACAAGTCAAAATATACCTATTTCATCAAGATTTGAAAGTCATGGACCTTCAACCAGCAAAAGATCATGATCTAACATTCAAAACAGAGTTGCCATTCAACTGTAAAGTATTTTTAGGATAAGTAAGGTAATATAAAAGGGAATTAAGCTGCTAACATACATTATTTGTTTATGTCAAAAATTGACCGCTGAAAAAGCTTTCACATAAAATGCATACAGCACTACTAACACTTTAGCTCACCACGCGCGCGAGACCCGCACTACCCCGGGTGGGCTTCAGCGTTTCATGGGGGCGCGCGGTAATTCTGAAAAGTGTATACTCTCTTCAACTTTGTCACCTCATTCTCGTCCAAGGTTTTTCAATTTGGTATCATTGTGTTCGCAATAGAATTCTCTACAGGACTAAAGGCATATAAAGTCCAAAGGCCCGGCGTACCATCCACAACAGACAGAGAAAGTGAGTGCGTGTTACCCGGGAGCGTGCACGAGCGATAAAATGTGTACACTCTTCTCACTTTTGTCACCTCAATCCCCGTCCTAGGGCTTTCATTTTGGCATCATTGTGTTCGCAATAGAATTCCCAACAAGAGAATATGCATATACAGTAAAGTAAAAAACAGCAGCACGCTCCACCCGCTGACAAGATGGAAGTGGCCCAGAAAGAGAGCACCAAGGCGCCTCTCAATACATTAGAGGGTGCGGAAAATACTGAAAAGTGTATACTCTTTTCCACTTTGTCATCTCATTTCTCATCCTAGGTTTTTCAATTTGGTATCAATGTGTTTGCAATAGAATTCTCTACAAGACTAAATGCACATAAAGCCAAAATGCCCGGCGAGAAAGTAAGAGCGTATTACCCAGAACCGCGCAAGAGCAATAAAATTTTTAGCAGTCTCCGTGGTGTAGTGGTAAGACACTCGCCTGGCGTTCCGCGAGCGCTATGTCATGGGTTCGTATCCTGGCCGGGGAGGATTTACTGGGCGCAAATCCTTAACTGTAGCCTCTGTTTAACGCAACAGTAAAATGTGTACTTGGATGAAAAAACGATTCTTCGCGGCAGGGGATCGTATTCCAGGGACCATACGATTAAGGACTTGCCCGAAACGCTACGCGTACTAGTGGCTGTACAAGAATGTAACAACTCTTGTATATATCTCAAAAAAAAAAAAAAGTGTACACTCTCTTCACTTTGGACATCTCAATTCTCGTCCTAGGTCTTTCATTTTTGTAACATTGTGTTCGCAATAGAATTCCGTACAGGAGTATATGTAAATATAAAGTCCAAAAGCCAGGCGTACCACCCACAGCAAACAGAGAAAGTGACAGAGTAATCCCAGTGAGCGCTAATAAATTGGGTATACTGTACTGTTTTCAACTTTGTTACCTCAATTTTGGTCCTAGGTCTTTCATTTTGGTGTCAATGTATTCACAATGAAATTCTCTACAGGAGTATATGCATACAATATCCAAAACCACGGCGCTCGCCTCCCAAAGCCGCCGCCACAATGCTGCATCGTTACCGGCAATGCGTCTATTAAAAAACGATGCAATGCTGCGTCATTACCGAGTGAAGTGTTAAGTGTAAATGCAGTACTGTGTGTAACAAATCCAGGTGTTGCAACCACCTGGGGCTGAAAACACAAGAAGTGTTGCAAAAAGATAAATGTTTACACGACGTTAGTTCACATAAACATTTATGCCATCTCATCCAAATTAATGTATGAGATACAAATACAATGCAAGAATCATAATATTTAAAATATCAAAAATGTAAAATAAAACAATCAATTTTGCATGTATAGAGGATATTTTAGCCTTGCGTGATGACCAAACCACACATCAGAAGATGGAGAAACGACGAGTGTCGGTTCAAACTGGACCATTACTAAGTCGTATGTTACCTTCTCTACTCCTTAGCCTTACGTCCTTAAGGAGTAAAGAAGGTAAAGGTAGGAGAGCTGGCAGCTACAATGACTGCCACCTCCCTCCCTCCACTGATTACATAATAAACTCTCCAATATACTTTCATATCTTAAGTAAAAAACATAAGTAATCTTAATTACAGTTTTTAATGCCAGGAGCTATAACTAACAGGAAATGTGCATCATATTATAAGTGAGGAGTGTTGGTCTCTATGTGCGATAGCCAGATAGTGTTTTCAGTCATATCAAAGACCAAATGGTTTATTCTATCCTAAATAATGTAGAATATTGGAGAAATATAATGTTTAACAATGCTCATATTGATAACAAAAATGAGAAAAGATGAAATGTTTAGCAGTGCTAATGTGAGGAAAGTTCTGAAACACTCTTCACTGCCAACCTTACCCAGCCCCACCAAGTAAGCATTCTGACAGGCTCACCTAATTGAAATCGTCTAGTTGTGCTTGCGGGGGTTTGAGCTTCGGCTCTTAAATCCCACCTCTAAACAGTCAATCAAATGGTGTACAGGTTCTCAAGCCTATTGGGCTCTTTTATATCTACATTTGCAACTGTGTATGGAGTCTGCCTCCACCACATCACTGGCTAATGCATTCCACCTGTTAACTACTCTGCCACTGAAAGAATTCTTTCTAACGTCTCTGTGCCTCATTTGGGAAAGTTTCCACCTGCATCCCCTTGCTCATGCACCACCCATGCTAAATAGTTGATATCCTGTCAAGTCCTTTTGAGAATTTTGTAAATAGTAATCACATCTCCTTTAACTCTTCTGTCTACCAATGATGTGAGGTTTAATTCCAGTAGTCATTCCTAATAGCTCATACCTCTCAGCTCGAGGACTAGTCTGGTGGCATAAAGATTCTAAAGGCAACTTTATGTTGCCAGCCTTGCACATGCCACTGATGATATCCTT